ATAAATGATGGTTAGTTGATTGGTTCAGGGATTATACTAACCAATATATTGGTCTTCTTTGAATTGTTGATTGTAAGGGATTATGCTAACCCTGAAGATAGCCACATTTTGTGTCCCCTCATATCCCCATAATTTAATAAGCTTTGATGCTGCTTGATTCTCACCTGATCAAGGCTGTATTTGGAGTGATTTCCTGAGAAATCCTCTGATTCTTGCCATAAAACCCTCCAGTAAGCTAACAGTTTGCTAAAGTCAAAATTTGAGTAGCTAAAACATCGAACTAAATGGGCCATGGCTTCCAGTTCGCTATGTCAGTTAAATGGGAGGGTAGCCCAGTACCCAACTTGAGCCTCAAGGCGTGCAGCGCGCCGCTTGGCGATGCTGGCCATGGGCTATGGCATTTTCAGTGGCTTGCGGGGCTTGATGATGCCGGGCCACTTGGGGGCCCAGTGGATGAAATCCGCATGAAATAATCTGTTTGGAACATGGCTTATATTTTTTCATATATTGGGAATGCCATCATCCCAACTGACGAACTCATATTTTTCAGAGGGGTGGCTCAACCACCAGCCAGACTAAGTTGGTTCAGTTCACGAGGTTTTTAGTGTTTTTTGTGTTTTTTTGGCAGATGTATCGAGCTCTTGAATTTATGGATTTTTCAATGGGGTTGAATCAAGAAGGATGTAAATGGTTTTTTTCATCAAGAAAGATGACGCTTGGGGTGGGGGGGCATCATCTATTGTGGCTACAAAGAATTTTCGGGGTCGTTACTTCATATCTTTTTGGTTGCTGCTATGTGGCCTCTGGCACATAAGATCCAAATGTTCCAAATGTTCCAAATCAAAGAGGACGATTTCCCCTTATTGTCATAGTGTTTTACCTTGGACCCCAGAGTGAGGATGGGTTAAGATTTAATCCCCAAGAGCCTTTTTCGGAGGGATTACACCATGTACTAATTGTTTTTCTGGTCAAACCTTCAACAAAAATCACGCACTGGAACAACTCCATCAAAGATGGGAAACTGTTCTACAGATGGATACAATGAGGGGTCTTCCAGCCATCTTAGATTACCAAACCCACGGGATACGTAGTAATTTTCGACGATTGCGTGCTTTGGATGATAGCCGCTGATAGCCCCCTATCTGGTTGGTTCTTTCAAGTTTTCTCATTTTCATCCCTGGCTGGGACAGCGATGATCCCGATTGACGAGCATATTAGTTGAAGATGTTGTCGCTTTCGCACTATTTCTTGTCGGGGAAACAGCCCAAAGTGAAGGTCCATTGCTGAGAACCGCCTGCTGCTGCGGTTGCGACAGCCCCTTGTTTGACAATGAGGCTATCAGATTCCTTGGGGTCAAAGACTAAGACGTGTGTTTGGGTGCTTTCACCACGGAAAAATCTATGACAAACTTGTTATTTCACCACAAAATCCGAGGATCAAAGCAGTACACATTTTAAAACAAGTCGAGAACTGGGAAACTAATCGGGTGAAACGAAGATTTGTCATCAAAGATCAGAGAATCTTATCCCTATGGGCAAGAAGCATGCGGATAGCAGTTTGCCGAGGTCCTCGCAATAAAATGCAAAACTTTTTGGGTTCCAAGTGTCCCAGGTTCTGTTTTGACACATACCCCCAAATGACCCTCTTAAATGATCTTAAATGTGACTACTGTAGAACCAGAACATGGATGATTTATGATCATATGAATCATATGGCTACGGGTCAAAATTCTCAACCCCCGAAATGAAGGGTTTAAAACAACAAACTGTGTAAGTTCATTGATCGTCCATTTTTCACGCTCACCACACGCCGGAAGGAGAGAAACCCTGTACTGAGGCAGACCTTTTCACGTCTGCTACAGCAAGATATCGCCTTTCACGACATGCGTGATGCTACTTGGTGATGTATCGAACAAAGTGGTGGTTTGTTGATGCCCAAAGTTTCCGGTATATAAATACATCAAATCCCAAAAACACTAAAGTTCCCAATGTCATAGCATGTTGCCCAAGCCTCAAGCCACAAGCAAAAAAGCCGATGTATATAGAATACCGTGGTGAGACCCACTGAGCCAGGTAGTGGGAGAACCACAGATTCTTCTTTGAAGGTTCCCGAAGTCGGGTTTGTCATGAGAATGGGATTACCCCAACACCCCCAACACGTTGAAAACCCTCGGTTGCCCCATCATTCAATGGCCATTTTGATTGGGAGTAGATCCCCAATTTTGGACATTTTCCCCCAGTAGGGGGGACCTGGTAGTTTCGCTCAGGTTGGTGAGCTGACCAGCAGGTGGGCTTTTTTCAAAACTGCTGGGCCTTTTTTAGTGTTGACCTAGAGCTATCTGTTGAATCCCCTCGCAAAGATGCCCAAAAGCCGGGCATTGAACAATTCCCACAGTGGCCCCGTGCAGGCTGAACTCAGACTGTGAGGCCGTTGCTAGTGGCTTGTCGGTGAATCTCAACATTTTCCTCCGCAACGGAGTGCAGCTCGTGTGACCCGGCAAATGCGGTGACTCTGGCTGGGAAATCCACCATAAATAGGCATTTTTCAACGGGAACATCATCTAAAATTGGAGGATTGGAGGATTTTCAATTGCCATGGTTTGATTACTGGAGGATCTGGAGGGTAAATACGTTGACTTTGAGCACCAAAGCAAGATTATGGGAGTCGAACAGCTACTGCTAGGTGCTAAATGGATGTTTATCCGAAGAATATGGTAACATAGGCTCTGACACCATCCCCAAATGATGATTGCGTTGTTGCTGAATCGGATGGTTAGATAAATAATCCCTCCCCCGATCATGTTGAATGCCCCCGAAAAACCGGCGAAACCCTGCTGGAACGTATTGAACACGTATTGGATCTATTCCTGAGTTGGGCGCCCAAGAATAGTTGGGGGGCATTTAGTGATTTTCGTGATTTTCGTGGCATTGATCTGGGGATGGCTTTCATACTCACTTCCGAGGTTTGGAGTCTGTTATCTCACCATCACCTCCTGGAAGTTGTCGTTCGGGGACCCGGGGGACCGACGGGGGACCCGGCAAACCCGACCGAGGAGGAGTTCCCTTAGCGGATTTGCTATGAACCGTTCGGGTATCAGGATGGATCAGGATGAAATGACCACCAAAATTGGCGTTTGAGTCCCAACTCGGCGTTGAGAGTTTTGTCAATGTCGGAAATTGTGGTAGAAAAAGCCTGATTCTTGGGGGAATTGCTGCTGAAGCTGTGGATATTGTCATGACATTTTGATGAAACTTGATGTCCAGACTTCTTGTGGATTGATGAACCAGTGCTCAAGTTGATGGATGCTCTGTTTCCAGAAATGGGCAAATCGATGGAACTTAGGCTGATCCTGCTGGGCGTTTGGGCCGTCCTCTTCTACGTGTGGCTTGGCAGAGTGTGGGACTGCTGGATCAACCCAACAGGCTACCCAGTCTTCTTTGGAAGATTGTTCCCATCTTATAAATGATTTTCCCATGTTTGGATATGTTTGGGTCATATTCCAAAACTGCAGTCACTCAAAAAGATCCATTCCACAGAACTGTTTTGTGGTTCAACTCCAGCCTTTCAGTTTTAACCCAGCCCTTCCGTCTGGGGCTACTTGGGGCTGCCATGGTGAGGTCACTATACCATGGGTACAAGCATGGTGAGTTCACCCCCATGTTTGTTGGGATACGGGCCCCCTATACCTCACAAGACAAAATTAGTCAATCCCCCTATAACTATGGATATATATCTGTGTATATATATATATGATATACATACATATATATATATACATATACATACACACATATATCTATATACATACATACATACATACATACATTCCATTACATTACATTCCATTCCATTCCATTACATTACATTACATTACATTACATACATACATTACATACATACATATATATATATATATGTATATATATACATATACATACATAATATATATATACATAAATATATATCTATATGTATATATATATGTATATATATAGAATACATATACATACATAATATATATATATACATAAATATATATCTATATGTATATATATATATATATGTATATATATAGAACACAGTTATAACTCAAACTGGAAGTCGAACCACCCTCAATTTCTCACCAGATTGGCTTCTCAAGCCAGCCCAAGGTATGCGGTGTACGGCAAGTTCGCGCGATGCTCCTCACTGCTTCGGCAGGCAGCCGGGTATCCGTTTCAACTAGTGATGACGAATGATGACTACTAATTCTTCTGAAAACTTATATAGGTTTTATATTGCAGTTAGTGATCAATCATTATCATTCCCGTTCTATGTTTGCTTCCATTCTTTTGTATGTTGCTTGCGTTTCCGACAACTTGACCTTCGCAAACGAGGGTGGCTTCTACTGTTTTGCATGACGTTACAACCCATTGACATACGCGGAAAGGTCAATACCCATAAGACCATTTGGGGGAATAAACAGCTATTTTGATTTGAAAACCAGAATTTTGAGCCATATTCATTTGAGAATAACACCATCGTTGGTTAACAACCCTCATATTAGTTACAAGAACTCATGTTTGGCGGACAGGCCCCATTTTCATGCATGGTTGAATGGAATGGAATTGGTCATTCCACTCTTGTACCCTTAGTTTGCACACCCAGAACATGTTGCGAAAATAGTCGTCATGTTGAGACATGTTGCGAACAAGCCAGGTATCGAGTATTGACCCATAACCATAGCCTTTTTCCACAAGACCTTCATGACTTTGATTTGCCGAAGTTGAATGTTTGTTTTTTTACTGGCAAATCCACCCAAAATGCGGTGCCATCTTGGGTGCAACTTCCCAGATGTCACCACCCAAGTACTTGGTGGCTCATCCCACTTCGTAAATAGTTTAGTTCACGCCAGGAACATGGATTCACTAAGCCTACTTAGCCCATCAAAACAACCAGGGTGAACTAACCTGCTTACTCTGTAGGATGAAGCACCCAAGTACGCCCATCGCTTCCTCCAGGACCGTCTAGCAGCATTGAACAGCGTCGCGACGGAGGTTTCGACGGTTGTTTGGGCTGGATTTGGGGGTTGTGTCTGGAGTTGACACAAAATTGGTGATTGATCCAGAAAAGATAGAAATTTCAATAGATTTCACCATGAAGTCCCCAATTAGAAAAAACTGGGTTCCAAGATATTTTGGGATCAACAGCCTATTGTTAGCATATTTGGGTGGTGATCCACCAGCGACTTTTTTTCCCGCCAGGCCTTGCAGAATGTGCGCCCGGTCCGGGGCTTCTCGGGCGAAGAAGCCATGATGGAGAGGCAAGGAGCAGATCGGGGGGTGAATTTCATCCATAAGGTGGTTCCCCTGTAGTTAGCTAAGTTGGGTGAACCGACATAGGGTTTATGGATGTTTATGGTAGACATATCATATATCATGATGTATCATGATGTATCATCATGTATCATCATGTATCATCATATATCATCATGTATCAATGGTGAACTGGCTTAGCCAGCTTGTGGGAGGGCACCACCTTGCACAGAAGCCAGGGATTTTATCCAAAAAGAGGATCTATTCTATAAAAGCCAGGGATTTTACCACATTCAACCAACAAACATTCAACCAACAAACAGTTGCATATTTAGTCCACGTTGCAACCTATGGAATCACGAGTGATTGGAGAAGTTCATCCAGCTTGCCACTAGCGACATCCAGACACATCCATTCATGGTGCAATGTGAGGTCCCCTAGATAGCTAAGTTGACGCACATAACTTGGTTGATGAACTGGGGTTATAGGGGATATAACTATAGTATCCATGGGGTTTTACACCAACAAACATCACATTTGGGGGCCTCGCCTTGTGTGATATTGTGGATTTTGGCCCTAGCTTCCCCCTGATTTTTCATGGATATAGCCTCTGGTTATTTAAGGTAGCTATGGGAAATCACCATTTTTAATAGGTAAATCATCATAAATCATGTAAACATGGGAAAAATATCTCCATAGCTATGGTCAATTTCGGGATCCAGTGGGTACCTGCAGGTATCACCACGAGTCCCAAAACCTCATCTTCTTGGAGCACCAGCGTGCCGCGGCCTATGGCTTGTACGCCACCTTCTACAACGGACTTACCGAGGGGATCAAGGCGACTGCAGGACAGGATGGAGTGACTAAGAAGAGATCCGCTGTTCTGAAAACTAGAATATAAATCATTGTTGTTATTAAAAATGACATGGGTATGGATCAATACCTATAAATACCATTTTTAGGGGGATGAACATCCATGAATCCCAGCTATTTTGATGTTCACCAGGGGTACAAGGTTTTGACACACTGCCACATCATTAAAACCTATTCAACATGTCATCATAAAACAATCCAATAATGATTAAGGCCTCCTTTGTCACTGTCTAAGACACCAGGCACTGGCCGTCCGACAATTGTAGACCATCAAAATGGTGGTAAATTGGGACATGACACACCATTTTTGTCCCATGACTATGAGCCAACTTCTATCTGTGAGATAGAGAAACAGCAAACCAAAACATTGGCTCTTTGCAAGTCCATGGCAAAGTCTAAGTTGTCGATAAAGACCCCATATAGTTTGCAGCCTGTCTGGATTTCTTGTTGGATAAATCTGGGTCATGTGTCCTCATGGCTGACCAAGTCCCACAAATGATGCTGCAGGTTAGGTTTCGGATTGAAAAAAACTCCAGTCAGCAACAACTGATATATTGATTGACTGGATTCATACCGCATTTTTTCGAAGATCTTTTCCGATATTTTCCAGTTCGCCTCCGCTATTTACCTCTTCAAATCATGGTGGAATCGGGCTACCCCCCAGGCGGTAGCCCTTGGCACTGGTGGGGTGCTGGTTGCTCGCGGAGTCCCGGAGACCCAGTGACTTACCAGTGAAGCAAACTGTTACCAGAGGATTGAGGGTATAAGAAACATAAGTTGGAATATCACCTCTATAACTGGGAAACATATGGACACATTTTTTGAATAATTCAGGGTATAACAATGGACATATTCATGGGATCCAAGTTACTAATGGGAAAAATCCATGGGTGTCTTACGAGGTGGCTCCCAATCGGGGATTGAACGGATGAGGCGTTCTCAGGCCGGGTCATTACAGTTGTATCATGAAACCATAGCTATGGGAGTTATAAACCAACTTAGCTATCTGGCCCCACTTTCTCGGATGAACCACTATGACTTTCATACTTCAAGGGAGGGTGTTTAGCCACCAACCCGACTATTGTTGGCCAAGATTCTAGATTTTTGTTCCCATATCATACCGCCTGTTTAATGGGTTGACACCACAAAGCAGATTTGTAGCAAGGACCCCCTGTAACGAAGATGGGTAGCCTTGGCCATGACAAGGGATTTTGTGATGAATTGTGGATCACGCATTCTGATGTGTACAAAAAGAATAATAATGATAATAATACTAATAATAAATAATAATAATAAATAATAATAATAAATTATGATAAATAATAATGAGAAGAAGAAGAGGAAGAAGAAGAAGATGCCGCTGCTGCTGCTGCTGCTGATGATGATGATGATGATGATGACGATGACGATGATGACGATGATGATGATGATGATGGTGATGATGATGATGATGACGACGACGACGATGATTTGGCGATCTTTTCATCATGGTTTTCTGTAACTTTTCCCTTAGACCTATCCACTCCCCCATTTCTTCTACGAGTCATCCATTGCGGCCCAGGGTCTTTCGCCCGAACAACTCACAGCGCCCGAAGCGCCCAGAGATTGTTGAGGGATGCTTATTTTTTTTGTATGGGTCAAACTTGGGTATCCGGTGGTCAATCATTATTTTTTGGACATGAAAAATGAACACAGATTGCAGTATCATTTTTGGTTCAGGGTGGACAGAAAGAACAATATTCTAACCGTACTCGGTCAACCTTGGATGTCTAATCTGCCAGAAATTGCAAGGAATGTACCGTCAAAAAATGCAACTTTACAGATCTTTGCAGGCTATCTAAGATTATAGCACCTCCCAAAAAGATAGAAAAAAACATTCGCCACTGCTTTCGAGAGATGTTACTTTTCGATCTTCTTGGGGGTTGCTATAACCAACTCTTTTGATACGAAGTCGAGGAAATGTCTCAGCAATAGTTGTACCCCGAACATTCCATGCTCGATCATCATTTTGCCTTTCGAAAAATATGAAAAACTATATTTATGTTTCATGCTATTTCATCATCATTTCCCCAAGAAAAAGAAGTATTTGAGTGGCCTGAAACCATCTTGAAAGCCTAAGGTCTATGCTCTACGTGGACAATGTGGTGGGATCTTCCCTGGCAGTTGGAGGGCAGTACAGGCCCACGGTAACTGGTAACCGGTAGTGGAATATATAGTTAAGTTAAGTTATGACCATGTTGTTTTATTTATTTATTTATTTATTTTTATTTTTTAATAGACCTAGTAAGATTTAGTATAGAATCTGTATAACTATATATATGAATATATACTGTGTATATATATATATGTATGATTAGTATGTCTATTCGACTATACATACTATGTATATTAACATATATAGTACTGAGGTTTAGTTTAGACTAGCAAGTGGTTAACGGAATAATAACCATGGCTATGATAATGGTCCATAGTTTTTTCACCACCCAATGGTTAGTAAGTGGTGAATAGCCACGACACGATGGTTATAGATGGGTGATCGTAAGTCTCTGATTCGTGGCTCCCATCTATAAATGGCTGACCTGACTATGGGACTGTTAACCACCTACTAAGCTATGGGACTATTAACGAGTTATGATCCATGGGATGATTCTCCAAGATACCTTTGCTGCCGTCTTTGCGGAAAGTGACACCAGGTTGCCATTCGAGTTGTTTGCATTCGTCCCTTCGCAAGATATTCCACAACAGATCTCTTGAACACATATAGCTACAAGATTCGCTTGTGCGAGTTTGTGGAAAACTATGGGGCACCCTGAAATGCAATGGTTTGTCATCATTTGTCACCATTTTTCCTTTCAACATCGTCGTTTTCTGCATGAAGATTCCAAATTTCTGGGATTTGATCACCCCAATTTTCTGGACAAAAACGAATCATCTATATGGTGGTTTATATCATTTGTATCTATGTAATTCTATGTATTCTATGTGGTTGGTTTCCTACCCCCATTTTTTTGGTGTCACTTAAATTGTGACCTATTCGTGACCGCCAGACAACTCATGCAAGCCATTGGATCGAGTCGAAAGGCGCTCTGGGGAGAACTTGAGACCTGGACGACCTGGAAGTGTCCAAAAACCAACAGCTTACCCTTCAGTACACTACCAGGACCAGTGTAAATTTGTTGAGTTTTTTTTAATCGATAAATCATGAGTGTTTCATGGGATCTAATGTTTTTTGTTTATTTTCTGGGATGAACATTTTCACTTCATGGGATAAACCCTCTTGTTATTCAACAGAGCGAACTGGAAGCCATGGCCCATTTGGTTCGATAAGATTTACCGACTGAAACATGGTGGTTTTCCATAGCAAACTCTTTGTGGTCCAGCGGATCATCGTTTCCTCCATCTGAGTGATATGTTTGGGATACAGCGATATAGACGAAAAAAAAAAGCCCATTTTGAGACGCACCCACGTTCCGGCATTTGTTTTTTGCAGTTTCGAACTGTGGGCGGAACGAGAGAACATCATGCAACCGCAGATGCTCCAGCAGTAACAATGACCGACAAAAAGTGTTGGTTGGGTCACCGACAAAAACTGTCCCCATTTGGAATTGAAACAAGGCGCTTCGCCCCACTTGAGTCGATGATATCCCTGGTTGTAAGTGAACGAACCCTGCTTAGCCTCTTCTAATTGGGCACAAGAAGCACGCAGCATTCTCATTATTATGATAATGAATATTGTTATCATGATGATTATTCTGATTATCATCTCTATCAAACACACACACACACATTTTATATCATTCTATATATAAATTGCCATGACATCCGCATCTATATGTTGCCTCCCGACCGCGACCACCTAAAAACCTGCCACGGCAGGTCTTTGAGTATGCCGAGATGCCTCCTTCACAGACCATGGTGCCAACCAATCGGTTTGGGAACCCGGCGCTGTTTGGGGATGGACCAAAATGGCTTGGAAATTGGTTGCTTAACTATGGTTTATTAGAGGGATATATATATATCTATATTATGTGTATATGTATATTCTACATGCTATATATATATTATGTATATTCTACATAATATATATATATATACATTTAATAGGGATAGCGGGATGATTATGGATTTTGAATGTGATTATAACTCCGATAGCTATGGTACCTCCATCTTTCATAAGCCCCGAACCCACAGCAGAACATTTTTTCCTATTTGAGGACGGAGAAGGTACTAAATCTTGGCTCAGACCGTTTTTGATGCTCACACCTCTATGTTTGTTGGTTCAGTCTCCAATTTGTTCTGAAGATCTACCCTCTAATCAAACATGGTTTGCTGGAACATTTCCCATTTGGTAATTTAGTTCGATGAGTTTTCCCATTCAACCCCCAATTAGTAGTGGATTTTTCCATGATTTTCCTAAGATTTTCCCATGTTTTTTCTATGTTTTTCCCATATTTTCCTATGATTTTCCCATATTTTCCTAAGATTTTCCCATATCTGACCTCGATTTTCCCATATCTGACCTCTATTTCCTTGGGGGATTTCGCCATTGGACCTGATCAAAACTTCCAAGGACGGCGCTGAAAAGGGTGCCCTGGAAGGTCTTCAAGGGAAGCGTCACCTTTCGCCTGGGCCCCTGAGCACTTTGCGAAACGAACACTTTGCGAAGTGGAAAAACATCACCAGCTTTGGTAAATGGGTATGGATCAATACCTATTAATACCATTTTTAGGGGGATGAACATCCATTTACCAGCTATTTTGATGTTCACCAGGGGTACAAGGTTTTGACACACTGCCAAATGGGTGTGTCTGAAAATAGTGTACCCCTAAACCCAATGGTTTTGCTGATCATTATCCCTATTAAATGGCTATAATTGTTTCTTCCTTGGGTTCTTCATTATCAATCTCTTTTACGACTACCTCTGTCATATATTAATATTATAGATAACTTTTTATACTTTCAAAATCTCGTGCCTCAAATATGGTTTGTTCAATCCTTCCAGTTTGAAGGTTCTGTTTCCGACATCGTCATATTCTATCTTGGCGATTTTGTAGGATTGATTGCTCCATTTTGAGTTATACTCCTTCCTCTCGGTGTAGTTATCTTTTTTCTTCTCAAAGACCTTCACCTTATCATTCACTTTGACCTCCGGATATTTGCGAGTGTTCTTTTCCCTCCTTGTCAAATTCACCCTGACGTCCATATGGTTCTTGTCGTCGTGGGCATCCTTGGGTTTCATTTTGGTGGATGAATGGACGGTGTCGTTGTATTTAACGCTTTGGACAACATCACAGTCCAACTACCGCGATTAAACCTCACCCTGTCGTGTATCATATTCTTCATCGTCCTTATGAAACGCTCCACAACATTAGCATGTGTTAGGGTGACGACGTGAGTGATGCCTTCTTTCTCAAAAAAGTCTTTTACCCCTGCTTGGAAGGCACGGTCATTATCACTATAAACGGACATCGGAAAACCCATTTTGTTGAAACTCTCTTTCATCGCCGATAATGTAATTGGTCCAGATTTTTCTTTCATAGGGACGACGTTTGCCAACTTGCTGAAGATGTCAATGACCACCAACCCATATCTCGGTTCGTCGTTCTTGATTGGAATTTTCGTCTCTGGTTCTTTGGTAAGGGGTTTCATATCCATTATGTCAATCTGATATTCAAACCTTGCAAAGGGTGCGGTGTTGGAGTTTGAACCCCTGTATTTTCTAATCTGTTTGTTGGGTTGTTTCCTCATAAAGTTTTCCACATCCACCCTGTTGATGGTCTGGTCTTGTTCCTTTGCTTTCTTAAGTGTCTCATTGATTGAACCGAAGCCCGTTTCAAGATTGTAATATACATTGCTTATGATGTCATCTCTTGATAGTCTCCTTGCCATATATTATAATATTTTATTTTTAAAATTATCAGCAATAAAAAATCTACTTAAAGAAAAAATACCTATATATAGTAAGAGTAAATCAGATGGCTAAATTTGACTGCGGATGTCGTATAATGACAGATGTTATAACCCTGAACGATAGAAAGCAACCTAATTGGAACTACTTGCTCAAAACCTTCGTGAATGTTTGTGGAAAGTGTGGCAAGAAACAAATGAAATTCCAACAAATGGAAAACAAACTTTTGGAAATGGAAAAGCAACGAATGGAAATGTTTATGAACTTTGAAGATGAAGACGGAGAAGAGTATGATGAAGAATATAAAGAACAATTTAGAAAGATGACAGACGAAGAGATTGAACGACACATCGGTCTTGAAAAAGTTAGAAATGTAATGGAAGGATTTGACAGAGAACACGGTATAGACAAAATCAGGAGGATGATAGAAGAAGTGAGAAATGAAGACAAGAAAGAAGAACCTGAAGATGAAGAATATGAAAGTGATAGTAGTGAAACACAACGAATGAAACGATTACAGTGGATAAGGGACAACAGAAAACCCAAAAACTGAAAGAGACCCCAAAAACTACTTAAAGAAAAATGCCTATATATAGTAAGAGGATGCTATTTACTTGTAAAAACTGTGGATGTTGTAAGAAAGAAATGACTAAAGTAAAGGTTTTATTGAACAATATTTTTCCCGCTGGAATTTGTGATGAGATATGTGATTACAACCTTCACTGTTCAAAATGTAAAGACTTAAACGATAAGGAGCGTAGATACATAGATTTCAATTATCATTTTGACTATTTTAATGATAAAAAACTGACGAGAGTAGAAACGACAATCTATTTCTTTAAAACAAGGATGGAGAAATCACCTATTTATTTATCCAACACGAACCGAACAAACACTTGGCAAATGAAAAGAGAAATTGATGTTTTAATGGATACATTCAAACTCAAGCAAGAATTCAAACATGACAAACTGTTCTTAATGGCGATTAAGTCTTTTGTGAAAAAGGAGTGGAAAACTACCTATCACTTCCTTAAAAACTTTCACGACCTTACATATATGACATATTGTAAGAACAAACGGGAGTAGTGGTTTCCTCAAAACGATTGGACTTATACATTCAGAAATAGGGAGTTTAAGGTAAATGACATTTTGAAAATATTTTTGCGTGAATACACCGAAGAACTTTTCAATGGTTATGAGAAATATTTGAACATAGAAGAAATAAAAGAGCACCTACAAAAAGTGGTAAATACTTAAAGAAAAAATAACTATATATAATAAGAGAAAATGAGTAAAGCAAAAATTCAGGTTATAGATAGAGATAATATCGGTATATATGCTGACTTTGGTAGTGAAAGCGAAGATGAACACGAATGTGATAGACAAGCAATAGAAAAAGAAGATGAAGAGATTAGAGACTTTGTAAAGTGTCATCCTATGCCTTCACCAGATGATGAGGAAGGAGAATACTGGTGGTTTAAAGTAATTGATAGGCTGAAAAACGACTAAGGAATAAATGGAATGATAATTTTTTCGCTTATGAGATTTGACATTATAAAAAGAATGTATGAAAACCTCACTAACAAAACAATTATCGTTGAATGTGGTAAGGAACTTAACCGTGATGGAAAATGGGATGCTATGGCAATAAATCAAACTCTATTAGCATTAGCAATAGATGAACTAATTTTAGATGATACAGACAAACCTATCACAAGTCAAGTCAGGATAATTGAACACTGGTGGGATGGAATAGGAAAGTGGAAAGCATAAATGATTAATTCATAATATCTTAACAAAACATATTATGAAGTAATCACCCATCCAAACACAAACATAAACCCCAACAGCCTAAACAATTATCCCCCTCATCTTAAACCAAACCATGAAGTGAAAGTTAGGGGCAAAATATTCCCAAAACCCCCACCACATAAAACATCAAAGATAAGGAAGAAACATTGAACAACAACATAAAAAACACAACAGGCAAAACACCCTCAACAAAACCTACCCTCATTGAAACCAAACATTATTACAACAACCTAAAACATTTATATATATATAGCAATATAACCAAAAAGAAACAGTCAAACATTTCAGATTACAAGATTGAACAAAAACATAACAGCCTCCCACCTGACCTACAACCTGTCTTGTCCTAGCTTCCCCCTTCTACCATTCTTTTTTGGGAATATACCCTATTTTCAGACAAACCCAAATCAAGGATCAATGGCATTTCTCAACTAACCTATGTAACTATTGAAAATCAGCAATTTTAAATATGTAAATCAACGAAGTAAATGGCCATTTTTAGTAGCAAACTGTTACTTTACTTTGGCCACTGGTGTTTTTTTTTTCACTCACTGATCATTCAGGGTATATAGACATCACTGAAAAAATCCAAGTGGCGAAAAGCCAGTGGGGGATTGAAAGTTACAAAGCTCCTGGGATGGTTTTGGACAAACTGATAGGATATCACTACTGATTGGCATGGCTAAAACATAGAAAACCTTACATCCAGTGGGATGCTCATCCAAGTCGGCATGCAAACAACAAAGATTAGGGTTTAAACAGACGAAAAGGGAAGATCCAAGAAAGTCTGATGACAAACTTGGAGACCTTTGAAAAGAAAAGTGTCATGGTCAAAAAATGGATGGCGGTATCTTTTTGCAGCTGTTGGGTGTCAGATTTTGCTTCTGACTTCATCAGCTGAAATACGTCGCAACCACTGCCCGGGACGCGTAGCAGGCAACGTCACCTTCACTTATGCCTCGCGTCCGGAGGGTCCGCCTGTGTTACGAGGTGCGAATCTTGGGTCTTACATAGTAAATGAATATAAATGAACATCACTACCATGTACCAGCTATAGCAGCTATTACGGCTTTTATGATGTGAGGAGACCAGGCTTTTGATCCATATCTTTCA